CCCCTGGCACGTGTCACCTTGGCGGTCAGGGTCCCCTTCCCTCCCCTCTGGGGGATGCTCACCGCTGGGCCCTTCTCAAAAGGACTCACAATCTAAGATTAGATGATGCCCAGCCCAGTGTTGGTGACCAGGTTTCTTCCTCTCTGAGGGCTCTGTGCTGCCGGCTTCAGAGCCCATCACGATGGACCTTGCCATCCCGGAGTGAGGTGCTGCCACTCTGGTGAGCCTGGGACACGCCCTTCCTTCGTATTTGGAGGTGGCCCCCCCGCCCGCTCCAGGAGGGATGGGCTGCCTTGCCTGTGTTCTGGATGCTTCCCGGCCTCCATTAAGAGGGTCCTTTGCATCCACCTGATTTCTTTTGCTCTGCTGCTTCCAGGCAGAGTACAATTCTCTCTTGACCAGCTAGAATGCCCTGCACATCCATGGTGGACTTCTCTCCCCTTTCAAAGATGGAGTCAAGTTTACAAATATGAAAGGCAGGGATCGAGTTTCCAGCGGTAACCTTTGAATGAGAACGAAATTGTCACAGGACATTTGGAGCCAGGACGAGTGGGGGACGCGGGGTCCCCTGAGTCTGGATGGCCCAGTGGTGATCGCCTGCGGCAGAAACCCCACGGTGGGGTGAGCGGAGCCGCTTCAGCATCAGAGCAGGGGAACCTGAATCTCTTGAGATAGGAATTTGGAGAGGCGCTGCCCCCAGGGCTTCTCAGGATCCTGGTTGCTGCTCTGGAAGCTGCCTGTTCAGGCTTCAGCCCTGTCTCCCCTTGAAGGGAGCCGGGGAGGTGTTTGCCGGTTGGATGTTTTATCTTGGCTTGTTTTTCCTGATTCTTTGTTAGAATACCCCCAGGGCTTGGTCTTTGTTCTCAGCCTGTGATTAGAAACAAGATACTAAAGTGTTGGACAAAGGGCCTGGGGCGCCCGCCCGGGAGAGCTCAGAAGGTCAAAGGGCCTAGGGTGCCTGGAGCCAGTGGTGGCCTTGGCGGCATCTGCAGCTCCTTCCTCTGTGCTGCCCACCACAGAGAGTCCCCGCTGGCCCCAGGGGCCCCTCCCCGGCCACAGGTCCCCTGAGCTGCCCGGTGGTTTCTCCAGCTCCTGCTGCTCCTGCAGAAGCAGTTCGCAGAGGGGCGATTTCCGCAGCCTGCCTGGTTTGTTGTGTTCATTGGTCAGTTGCTCTTTTGGGGACCGCAGGCCCTCTGAAGGCCCTGGCTGTGGGTGTGGCCCCGGGGTCACCTCTCTCTCTTCTCTCCCAGGTCGTGTCTCCTTCTTCACCTCGGGGTCTGAGAACCTGCACCGGGTGGAGAAGGTCCGCTGGGGCACCCGCTACGCAATCACCATCGCCTTCAGCTGCAACCCCGACCACGGCATCCAGGACCCAGCGTTCCCGTAGCCGGCAGCCGGGCCAAGACGGCTTGAGGAGGGCCTGGCCTGCCCAGCCCCGTGTGGAGGCAGCCACGCCAGCCGTGTGCCCACCCGCACGTCCAGCTGTGTTCCTGTTGCACAGAGTGCCTTAGGAATTCTCTGATTTTGATTTGCTGATGTTTTAATCTTTTCATCTGTGAGTAAATGGAGGGAACCAGCTTTTCACTTCTCCAGCATCGTGTGTGTGCTTTGGACGTAGATATGGGAGCCTCAGCTGGGGGACAGCCCCTCCCTCAGGAAAGGGACCCAGGACGGGGCACACGTCCCCATCTGAGCAGACAGGACGCATCCAAGTTCGGCAACCACCCTGGCCCATCAGAGCCCGGCTAAAGCATCAGCCGCCGTTCACATGGGGACAAACGTGGAGCAGCAGCTTCCGCTCGGGGTCTCGGCATCAGTGAACCGTGGCAGCTTTGGAGAAGGGTCCGAGGTGGCAGTGAGGTCCTTCAGGGAGGACTTAAGGTGGAGGTGAACAGCTGCTGTTCCCACAGTTCCCCAGTGGTGCAGCCCACCGCGCCGTGCTTTACCCTGTCACCGGTCAGCATCCCGAGGCCCAGAGCGCCGTCACCGAGGAGGCCCTTGGTGTCGCTGTGCTGGCTCCTGCTCCCCGACTCTGCCCTGCCATTACAGTGATGGTCAGGCCAGACGCGGTGACTCACACCTGTCACCCCAGCACTTTGGGAGTTCGAGGTGGGCAGATCACATGAGGTCAGGAGTTCGACAAGCCTGGCCCACATGCCAAAAGCCCGTCTCTACTAAAAATACAAAAACCAATTTGCTGGGCGTGGTGGGGCGCACTTGTACCCCCAGCTCCTCGGGAGGCTGAGGCAGAAGAATCCCCTGACCCGGGGGGGCGTAGGTTGCGGTGAGCCGAGATCACAGCAGTGCACTCCAGCCTGGGCGAAGGAGCAACACTCCGTCTTAAAAATATAAAAATAAAGTGATGGCCGGAGAAGCCCTGAAGAGACCAGCCGTGGAGGGGCCTGGGTGGGCTGGCTGGCAGGGAGGGCAGGCCAAGCCCAGCTTCTGCCCATAGCCACCTCTAAGTGACTGCTCAGGGGTTCGGGCACCTTCCCGGGAGAGGGCCAGTCACTCAACGCTGAGTGGTGTCCAAGCCGGGCTCTCCTGGATGCCCTGACCCAGCTGCCTGGAGGAAGCCCTGGGCCCCTCCTCCCTCAGACCCTCCTCCCTCAGACCCTCCTCCCTCAGACCCTCCTCCCTCAGACCCTCCTCCCTCAGACCTTCCTCCACAGCCCTGCCTCCTTTGGCTCCTCCTCCTGGGACTTCTCTTTCCTTGGCCCTTCCCCCTCAAGCCCCTCCTCCCTGGGCCCCTCCTCCCTCAGACCCTCCTCCCTCAGACCCTCCTCCCTCAGACCTTCCTCCACAGCCCTGCCTCCTTTGGCTCCTCCTCCTGGGACTTCTCTTTCCTTGGCCCTTCCCCCTCAAGCCCCTCCTCCCTGGGCCCCTCCTCCCTGGGCCCCTCCTCCCTGGGCCCCTCCTCCCTCAGACCCTCCTCCCTCAGACCCTCCTCCCTCAGACCCTCCTCCCTCAGACCTTCCTCCACAGCCCTGCCTCCTTTGGCTCCTCCTCCTGGGACTTCTCTTTCCTTGGCCCCTCCTCCCTCAGACCCTCCTCCCTGGGCCCGTCTGTCACAGATTCGTGTTCCAGAGTCCCTGGCACAGGAGCCTCCGACTGGAGGAGGCCCCACCTGTGGCCCGGGAGCGGCCCTGCGGGTTGATAAAGGGGCAGCATTCCTGGGCCCTAGGAATAAGTGGGTGTGAGGCCAGCTGAGGAGTGGTGAGCCCTGGGCACTGGGGACCTGGGGGCAGCACCTTGGTTTGCCCAGGGCCCCTCCTGCACCACGGACTGGCTCAGGGCTGTTGGGGCCACGGGCCACATGCAGATGATGGCATGGGATGGGCTCCCTGGGTCCACAGCTTCCACCGGTGCATGGGGGGTCCTCCTGAGTCAGGGCTGCAGGCTCTGGGCAGGGGGGGCAGGAACCCTGAGGCCCCCAGCCCCTCCCATGGCCTCTACCTGGGACACTGGAGTGAGGCACAATTCGGAAGGACTCTGGATCTGGGAGAATGAGGCCCAGCTCTGGCTGGAGGACAAGGACGTCCTTTTGGGGCCAGCTGCTTCATGGATGCTCTCTGGGTCACGCCAATGGTCCCCCTTCGGGGTGGGAAGTCGCCCCAGCCTGGGCCACCCTTGGGTTGCTCCCAGTCTTCTTGACTTTCCGGAGGGTCCACGGCTGTGGTCACAGTTGGGGTCGGTGGAGAATGCTGCGTGGAAACCTGGTCCCGTCTGTCACCCTGGAGTAGATGACAAGGTCGCAGGCATCTTGCCACGTCTGAAGGATAAATGCGTTTTAAGAAAGCGGGTGTTGGGTTGGTTATGGGTTAAAGCGCTTTTGAAATAAGTAAATTTTTAGTTTGATTTTCATTCGTTGCTACTTACACCATTCATGATAATCACAGGGGTACTCGGACAAAGAAATTAATATATTTGGGCAAAAGCAAGAATTTCCTTTTTCTAAAGTGGGAAAACATGGCCAGGTGTGGTGGCTCATGCCAGTAATCCCAGCACTTTGGGAGGCCAAGGCAGGAGGATCACTTGAGCCAGGAATTGGAGACCACTCTGTGCAACACAGCGAGACACTGTCTGTACAAGAAATTTGAATTTAGCTGGGTGTGGCAGCTGCTCCTGTGACCCCAGCTTCTTGGAGCTGAGGCAGGACTGCTGGAGCCCAGGAGGCCGATGCAGCCGTGAGCTGTGGTTGCACCACTGCGCTCCAGCCTGGGAGACAGACCAAGACCCTGTCTCTAAAAAAAAAAAAAAAAAAAAATTACCATTAAAGTCTGGGTATTTTTTAAAAATAAAAAAGTGGGACACTGCGTGGCCACAGCAGTGAATCCTCACACCCTGGCTTCGCCCCAGAAGTGCTCGTGAACCTGATGAAAGCCCAGGTGTGGCCCAACGTGGGATTGTTGCAGGACCCACATGGGGTCGTTGGTTTTGCTAGAAGGTTCCAGGGAGGATCTGGAGTCTCAGGCGTGTCCTCTGATGAGTGATCTATTTTTAAGTAAAAGTGTCTCATTAAAGTCAAAGACGATTATTCCTTTTAAAATAAAGAATCTGAGGAATGTGAGTCCTGCTGTTGGGAAAGGGAGGGCTCCAGGGCTCAGCAGTTTCCTGCTTCCATCTGTGCTCCTGCCCGGCGGTGGCCCTGTCCCTGCTGCCTACATGGACGGGGTCCCCACGCCAGCCACCAGAGCGAGCCAGGCCCGGGCACACACAGCCGTGCATTGCAAAAGCAAGGCCAAAACATGAGGTCCCCGGGTGTCCGAGTCTGGGGAGAGAGGAAGGCCCCAAGGCTGGCTTTCTTGAGTTGTGTGAAAAGTCCACATACATGCCCCGAGTTCTCACAAAGGGGAAGAAGCCACGAAAGCAGAGGCCACAGCAGTGAAGTGAGCAGGGAGGGCTCAAGGCAGGCTGCAGCTTTCCTCGGGGCTGGGAGGGCCATGGCGCCACGTGGGTGTTCACCAGGGCCTGTGAGGCTTCGGGGTGAGCAGGGCTCCTCACCGTGGCCGGCTTGGAGCGGACCCCGTGCGGTGTGTGGGTCGCTGCCAGGAACCCACTTGGCAGCCACCGCTTGCCCCTCCTGGGCCACAGCCCTGGTTTGGAGCGTGGTGGCTCCCGCTCCCTCCACCTTCTCTCCTGATGGGGACGCCGGCCCCTTGCTGTCCCCTGACTCGCTGTGCTTAGCTGCACCTTCCTCCACAGGAAGGGGCCCCAGCTCTGTTTAGCAGCCCGGGAGCCGGCCACGCCCCGCCGACATGCACCCCCTCCCGGTCTTTGCGCGGTCTGGGCCCTTCTCTGTGTGACTCTGCCCTTTCTGTCTGCTCCCAGCCCCAGTGCAGGGTGGGGATCAGGTCCCGGCCAGCTTGGGGCAATGCCGGGCAGCAGCCGCCCCCTCAAGGACCCCAGGGCCCCAGCAGCCCCTCCGAGCAGCCCACCCTCGGGGGCCTGCCCCACCCCCCTGCCAGCACGCCGGGAATAGAGACCAGGGCGGGTGCTCAAGCCCCTGACTGAGGCCCCGCCTGGGCTTTCCTTCCCCCAGAGCCGCTTGTGAGGCCAGGCCGGGCTCACTCTCCCCGAATGCCCCTCAGCCCCGAGACCCCCACCCAGGGCCTCCTGCCGGGCAGTCCTGCCCTGTCTTCATTTCAGCTGATGTGTGCACCTGTCTCCCTGCGCTGGGCCCTCCCTGGGGTGGCCATGCTGTGTTCAGGGTTTCGGGGGCATGTGACACCTCAGAGGGGAGCACAGACCCCTCGGCCAGGTCAGAACTTGCTGGCATTCCCATCTCGCTGTCAGCCCAGGCCGCTTCCCGTGCTCATGCCCTTGGCCCTGGAGTCCTGCCCCTGGTGAGGTGGGCACGCTGGCTCCCACCTCTCCTTGGGCCCCTCCCTCCACCCCTAAATCCACACCCCACCCCAGGACCGCCTCTTAGTGGCCTCCCAGGGAGGAGAAGGCTCCTGGCCCCCAGCTGCCCAGTGTGGCATGCAGACGGCTGGCACCAGAGGCCAGGGGAAGGGGGGGAGGTTGGGGCAGGAGAACCTGAGGACGGAGTCAGTCCCGCTCCATCAGGCCTCAGGCCCAGCCCCCGCCTGGCTCCAAGCCCCCGGAGGAATTTTGGCTCAGGGTGGCCAGCTCTGGCCAAAGTGCAGGGGGTGGTGCCTCTGTTTCCTGCCAACTCCTGGTTCTGGGCTGAGACCGTCCTTTGTTGTCAGTCACACTGAGGGGTGCTGGAGGCCACCTGGGTGGACGGATCCGGCCTGATGCCTTGTGAGGACCTGTCAGTCCCAGGCACCTCCACGTGTTCACTCCCGTGATTTCCAGCATGGCCTGGGTGGTCCCTGAGCCGAAGTCCCTCAGCTGTGAAAGAGGAGAGGACTCGGTCAGAAAGCAGCCCGGTGGTGGGCTCTGCTGGGGGGGCTGCTGTCGGGGCCGTGAAACACACAACGGCCCAGCCCGGGCTGCATGGCCTGTGGGTCGCTGTGGGCTTCAGGGAAGCAGGGGGGCGGCCCTTGGGCTGGCCAGAGGAGACGGGAAGATCCAGGGCTCACTGGTAGTGAGAACTGCAGGGGCCCCATGCAGGGAGGGCAGAGGG